CTGTTTACTTTGAACTAAGCTCAAGTTGGATATTAAAAATTTAAATGTTAAAAGTGAAAGCAAAAAATAATTTTTTTAATGTGTGGCTATTTACATAATATTGAGGTAGAAAAGGCCATTCCAAACATAAAACTTCAAAATAAAACATAAAAATTTATATGCATAAATATCATACACATAACAAAATGGCAAACTTAAACTGGCAAAAATATTTGAAGCATGTTTCTTAATATCTGACAAATATTCTAACAAATTCACAGAAAAGGAAGGCACTTCCACTAGAAAGTGGACAGAGGACAGGAACAAGCAATTCATAGAGGAAGAAATGCACATGACAAATGAGAGGCTGGCTGGTTAGTTAGGTGGTTAGAGCACAGTGTTGTAACACCAAGGTAAGAGTTCAGATCCCCATAAAAGCCAGCCGCAACCCTCCCCCCCAAAATCAACCAATAAACACATGACGAAAATTTGACTTTACTAGTAATCAAATAAATGCAAGTCAAAACAACATTGAGATATGATATATACATATTTGTTTAATTTAACAGGCTGGAAACTATTTGAAGAAATGAACAATCAATATCTCACTGGCAGGAGAATGACTGAGTTCCATCTTTCTGATAAACAACCTCATGATATACATGAAAAAAAAATCTCAAAATATGAATGCCTTTTAGCCCAGCAATTCCACCTCTAAGCATTTATCCCAAAGAAATAATTGAGCACGGATTTCACAGTAATTAAGGATGATTATTGTAGCATTATTTATACTTATTTTATCAAATTTAAGATGTTGTCAATGATAAGATTCACTATTATTTTATCACCAAATAAGGAAGACAGAAAAAATGTGGTTTATTAAACCATAAACACATGCCAATTTCAGAGATGTAAATACGTGAAAAAAAATGTGCATCCTAGAATCAATGAAATACAGAATGATGAAACTGGAAAATAATTTGCATGCCCCAAAATAGAGCATTCTGAATAACTGAAATAAATAATTTACATAAATTAAAAAAAATTTTAACCTATACAATTCTTATCCTGTCCCCAGAGGGGCAGATCTCTGATTGTGTCCCTCCAGATGATAAGCGTGTTACTGTTCATTCTAACAGCACAGCTATGGCCACATTCCTTGAAGTTGAATGTCCAGGGGTGGTGGTAACTCTTCTTTGACTTGTTAAACTTACAGCTGTCTGCCCGCAGCTCATGTTATAGTTTAGGAGTTTATCCCTTCCCCCTTTATTTTATTTTCTCCCTCCTTTCTCTTCTATCACTTGCAAACACCTATAAAATACCCATGACATGCTACATACGGGGGGCAGATAGAGCCCTTGTCCTTGAAGTGTTTAGAGGAGGCTGGTCCACATCACTACTGTCTTACATCAAGGACTTAATTATTGTATTACATACAACATGTAGACTGTTACCTACTTGGTAATCCGGATATTCATCTCTCTGGGCATTTAATATTCAATGTTGCTCACAAAGAATGTTGATAAAATTGCTTCAGGGAATCAAGTGAGTTAAATAACACACATGTGCCTTGCTAAAGCAAATATGTGAAAAAATTCCCTTTATTGACTTTGATTTTGGGGGCAAACTGATGTTGTCCTTAAACTGCCATTTTCTCAAAAGATCCCAAAATACCATCAGCTCGGGTTTCAGCTCCGTCTACAATGTGTTCCTGGAGAACACACCATCAAGGAAGAAGTAGGTAACTGCTTTGAGCTCAATGTGGCCAATACATTTTTTTTTTTTAACCAGTGATGTATGAGGGTACTTCGAAAAGTTCACGGAAAAATAGAATTGAAAGATAATATGTCTTTCCATGATGAACTTTGGAAGGACCCCGGTACTTCCTGATATGAACTAATCTTTGGTTATCATTTTCTCCAGCATCAAGTTTCTGTGGCTGCTACTGTCTACACTGGTCTCGCATTCTTCTGATCAGCTTGAGAGCAGGGTTTCTCAACTTCAGCACTACTGACATTCCCAGACAAGTAACCCTTTGTTGTGGGACACCTTCCTGTGCATTGTAGGAAGTTTAGCAGTGTCCTTAGTGTCCACCCACTAGATGCCATTGGCACCTCCTTCAGATTTGACAACAGAAATGTTTCCAGGGAGACAAAATTGCCCCCAGTTGAAAACCACTATTCTAGAGTCTTACTTCCAAAGCTGTTCTTTTGGGATTTATCATGTGCTATTTAATAAAGATTTTTGCATGTTGAGGTTCTGGCTACCAACTGGACTGTAGGTTCCTTAAGGGCAGGAACCAAGTCCTGCATATGCTTGATTATCCTTCCAGCATCTAGTCAACAGCCTTCACATGTAGTAAGTAAGGCAGGTCCATTGGCCTATATATGGTATTGAATGGCTAGTGATATTTTGCGATATTTCCTATTCTGCAAAATCAGAGTAAATATATTGACCAGCCCTAGAGAAAAATGTGAACATGGACAACTTAACATAGCAATACACCCTAGGATTCATCCCAAAAAGAAAATTCAGGGTAGTCTCTTTTTTTTTTTATTTTTTTATTTTGCAGCTGGCCTGTGCAGGGATTTGAACCCGTGACCTTGCATTTTTTTTTTTTT